CAAGCAAAAAGTAAATAAATCATCATTTAGAAGAGGAACCAGGGAGCTGTAATCTGCTGACATTGTTAATAGATCAAAGGAGGAGGTTGGCTAGAACTTCTAGCCACACATCTAGACTCATTTGTAATTTTGACTGGAATTTGGTTTTTTCAAAAATATCTCTTCAGACCTTTCCCAAGGAGGTGTACGTTTGTCTGTCTGTTTCCTGATGGAGAGAGGAAACTCAGAATTCAGCTCTTCCTTATCCCTTTAGAGCAGCACAGTCCAACGGAATGTCCTGCGAGGGCGGGAAGGTCCTATCTGTGCAGCGCTGACCAAGGTGGTAGCCTGCAGTGGCCTGTGCACAGTCGCTCCTGAGCCCTTGAGATGTGGCTTATGTGGCTAAGGAGCTGAAGTTCTCATTGCGTGTAATTTTAACGAAATTAAATTCAAATTGGACAGCACAGGTCTGGAGGAGGCCCCACAACTCAGGATGATTCTGGGGCCAAGCATCTTCATAGACCTTGGCCTTCCCTTTACATCCCTGCCCAGGAAGGGCTCTTAGCACTTGGTGTTTCCGTCAGTTTGCAGACCTCATGGAGCCGACATGGTGCCCCAGGCAGTGCTCTGCACGTCACACAGCAAATATGTCACACTCTGGCAGCTCCCTGGATAAACAACCCTCGTCTTGTCTCTTGCAAGTCCGGGGCCTGGTGGGAGCAGTTTTCCGTGACTCTGAGTAGCTGAGTAACAGAGCCCGGGAGAGGATGCGTCATGGGCCCATCTGGAATGCAAATATCTCTAGGGTTGGAGCAAAGATCTAGAATAGAACCACAATTTTGAGAGCCCTGCCAGCATCCCCAACATAGAGCCCCGAAGTGAGCTCACTGGCAAATCCAAATTCTGCTGTTGATGTCTGTCCTTTGTTTCTACCATGGAAAGCCCAACTGTGAGAGGAGTGGTCATCCAGGCAGAAGGCTTGCTTTTTCTTTTTTTTTACTTTAGTGACAAGAGATAATTACTGTGGGATTGATCGGGAGTCTAGAGTATTGGAGCAAATGAATTGTGCAGTGGCCAGTGCAGGAGGGACCCGCCTGCTAACAGAAGCGGCGGCTGGGTCATCCCGCTGCCATGGGGCTGATGGGGCGTCCGCGTGGGTCTGCTGTAATGTGCTATTGATATGCAGCCAGCCAATTTCCCCCGTGTGGCTGAGGCTGTGAACCATTCGAGCAGAGCTGGGCTGCACAGCAGTAAATGAAGAGGAAAATTGAAGTAATGTTGTATTATAAATTTATGATTTCATCTGCCTGACCTAGAGGATGTTCGGTGTTGGAGGTGGTGGAGATAAGATCCCTGCTCGGTCTGGCAGATGCCGGATTCCCATCTGTGTTGTTCAGGAGGCAACGATATTGACATGACCAGGAAGAGCAGGGTGAGGCCCAAAGTTGGGGTGAACTTCATCCGCGAGTTTCTTCTTTCTTGCTAGAGATTTGCGGGAATGCTGGGAAGAAAGCAGAGGTAATTGCATCATACTGGTGGCCTGAGTGCAGGGAGGGACTGGCCTTTCTACTGTCTCCCACCTTCTCTGAGGGAAGGTGATATGTGGGCTTATGCCTTTGCTGTCAGATTAATACTAAAATATTTAAGACCCCCCCCCCAGCTCTGAAGTTAGAAGCACAGGAACCATTTTTCATCAGGAAAGCCCCTGGGCATCTGTAATTTGGCTGTTTGCATATAATCCATTTATCAATATTGTTGAAATCGTGGCATAAGAAATCTAGTGCTGAAAGATCTGATTTGATAGCAGGTGATTAATTTGGAGGAGAATTGAGCTGCTCAGCCATGAAATAAATACTGAGAAAGGAGCCGGTGTGCATGTGTCTGTTGAAGGCATCCGTGTCCTGGCCTCTGCCCTTCTTTCACCATCAAGTGCCCAAGCTCAGGGTCCCTCAGGCTCCTGCTCCTCAGCTAGAAGTCAGTACAAAGCCGCAAGGTCTTTCTGCCTCTCACGAGGCACCAAGCCCCGGGACGTAAACTCACGGAGAAGGAGCGGATGACGAGACTCTGTGTAGGTAGAAACAGTTCAGTTGGCCAGTGTGGGAGTAGTGACTGCAAATTTGGAGGGGTGGGGGGGCTCTGGCTGCTGCAGGGGAAAGGAGCCACAGGCAGTCTCATATGCAATTTGGGTGTTTCATTACTGAAGGAACCTGCATGACTCAAGCTCCAAGAGAAGAGGGAAGAGCCCTGTGTTTGCCAGGTCAGGCTGCTAAAACAGAATACTATAGACTGGGTGGCTTATCATCAACAAACACTTATCCTTCACAGTTCTGGAGGCTGGAAAATCAAGATCAAGGTGCTGGCAGGTCCTGTGTCTGGCAAGGACTCACTTCCTTGTAGATGGGGCCTTCTAACTGTGTCCTCACACGTTGAAAGGGGCGAAGGTCTCTCTGGGGTCTCTTTTTTCTTTAATTCTGTGTTTTGTTTTGTTTTTTGAGTCAGGGTCTCACTCTGTTGCCCAGGCTGGAGTTCAGTGGCACAATCATGGCTTAACCACAGCCTCGACCTCCTGGGCTCAGTGATCCTCCCTCCTCAGCCTCCCAAGTGACTGGGACTACAGGCACACACCACCCATGCCTGGCTAATTTTTAATTTTTTGTGTGGAGATGCGGTCTCGCTATGTTGCTCAGGCAGGTCTCGAATTCCTGGGTTCAAGCAATCTTCCTACCTCAGTCTTCCAAAGTGCTGGGATGACAGGCGTGAGCCACCACACCCAGCCATGGGGTCTCTTTTATACGAGTACTAGTCCCGTTCATGAATGCTCCACCTTCATGACCTAATCACCCCCCTTACCCCCCAAAGGCCTCCTAAGACCATCACCTTGAGAGTGAAGATTTCAACATATGAATTTTGGAGAGGATACAAATATCAAACCATAACAACCCCCAAGGGCGTGGTCTTGGGCTAAATGCAGGACTGGAATCCAAGTCTCCTGACTTCCAGACCAGCGAGCTGCTGCTCTGGGTCTGACAATAGCACTGATCACAGGCAGAGGCTGTCACACCAACCTCCACAGGGAAGTGAGGGTTGGTGGGTCCTGTCTCTGAACTTGAGGCACAGATGCTCTGAATAGGCAGCAGGAAGACAAGCAAACTCGGACTCTTGAGTGCAGGCAAGGTGAAACTTAGAATCAGTCCTTTTCCTTCAGCCCTCACTTGCAGGGTCAGAAAGCGTTTGGTGTGGCACATGAGAATCCACTGGGGAGGTGGATGATGAACCCCCAGAGCCGTGTGTAGACATGCTTTTTAAGGGGTGTATAGAACTGCAGAGACACGTATGGAAAGTAGTCACTGCCACCTTTATTGCTGGAGAGCCTGGAGATTGTCATAATTGCACCCATCAAAGTCATTTTCTACCAGCACTTTGATGGCAAGCAACAGAAGCAACCCCGGCTGCTTTGAGCCGCAGAGGAGATCACTGGAGGAGCGTGAGTGGCGCACAAAATCGATAGGGAGGGAGGCTGGAGAACAGGACTCAGAACACATGCAGGAACTGAGGGAGCTGGGTCGTCAGAGCCTCAGCCCCAGCCAATCCCTGGGGACGGCCCAGGAATGACCTGGTCAGGGGACCGTTGCCCCACTGGAGGCTGGATTCTGCTACTGAGCCACCCACTTTTCCTCTGCCCTACTGGTCCAGAGGCAGATTCCCCAGAAGGCATCATTGGCTGAGCCCAGGCTCACCTGCCTGCCTCCCAGCTGCCAAGTTCAGGAAGGGCAGGAGGGACCCCTTCTCACCTTCCTTGATGGGAGGTAGGCCTCTGTCCAGGACTCACACCCAGCAGGGGAGCAGGAGCTGGGTAGCTGAGAAACAACCACAGACTTTCTCCTTAGAGGTCAAAGCAAAAGTCAAGCCACTGGAAATTGTTTGGTGACTGTGGTGATATTTTATGAGCACCGTGTGATGAGAAATATATATATTGAGGGGAAGAGGAAGTGACCCTGGTGGGTTAGGAATGGGAGGTAGCAACAGATCCCCTGTGGCCAGTGACGTGTCAGTCCAAGAAGGTGTCATCAACCTTCAGTGTAGTCTGAATCAAGACTCAGGGACATGAAGAATCAAGTGGCTTGAGCAGGCATAATGACTCCTTGAGAGCTGAAATGACATCTCTGGGATGTTAGTGACAAATCAGAGAAGGTCACACCAGTACCAGGACCTGCCAGCAGAATGTTCTCTGTACCCCATGTCCAGCCCAGTGGCAATTTCTACAAACTCCCCTCAGTGAACCACTCACTCGGGTTATCTGCTGAAATGGATCTAGAAGCAACGTGCTTGCAGTGAAATGTCATCTAATCATGCGACAGGGGCTTCTGGATTTAGGCCATGCTTTGTGGTACATGTCTTAACTAACATACCCAGTCCACCACCATTTTCCAAATGTCCTTCAAAGATATGGGTACTTCTTGAGTGTCTGTGCTGGGACGTGGGTCTCTAGGCTGTACCCCTGTTGCCCCTGGGCTGTGCCCCTATCAGGCCCAGCATCTTCCAGAGGCACAAAGTGAGCCCTGAATTTGGCCACTCAACTGTGACCCCTGAGTACCCACACTCTGTCCAGCACTGGCCCTGTTGCCTCGGGAGGAGGCATCGCAAGGACTTTAATCTCCCACTGTCAATAGCTTTAAGGTAAAGTACATTCAGGGTAAGCTCTCCAAATGTCAGATCCAAGAACGGTCTCTGTGTTTGGTGCTGGTATGTGGCATTTACTCTGCAGGTTCAAGAAAGTGCAGGGGCTTCGGGGTGGAGGGGTGGCTGGCCAAATTCAGGTTAATTACTAGCAGCTGACAGCAGCACCCCTGGCTGTAGGAGAGAGGTGACCTAGGCCCCAAATAAAGACCCTCATGGGAGACAGATCATTTTATAAAGGAAAATAACCCAGGCTGTTCCTCATTGCTTCCCTTCCTTAGGTTTTACCCCAGACCTGAGGTGGCTGTACTAACGGGACTCTGATCTTTCTCTTTGTGTTCAAGGCTACCCCAACTTCGTGGCGACCTATGGCCGCGGCTATCCCGGATTTGCTCCTAGCTACGGCTATCAGTTCCCAGGTGAGCGACTTGGTTTCCTGGGGCTTTGGAAACATGGGAGGTGGGCTGCAATTGGGTAGGTAAGAGGACCCCTAAAGAGAACACACCTCACTCATGCTTGCATGAGAGATGACCTCTATGTGCTAGATTTCAAATCCACTGAAGGCCAGGGTCAGGGTGCAACTCAGTTTCTGATGAACTGAATTTCTTCACTGGTGCTGGGTATTGGACAGCAGCAGCTTCTAAAGGGAGAAGGAAAGAATGGAGACAGGAGGCCTCCCTCTGCTCACCTCCTTTTTCTGAAGCCTGTTCCAGGTTTTTTCTCACTGGGGACGGAACTCTAGGCCCAGGGTTTTCTTTCACCCTCTGCCACCCCTTGCCTGCCTCTGCCTCTCCCCATGTCCACGTGCATGTCTGACGTCTCCCTGCCCTTCCTTCCTTTTCTCCTCTCCTCCTGCTCCGTTCTGACCGCTCTGGCTTCGGTGCCCTTCTGATGTGTGTTGGCGTTGTGCTGCTGGGTTTGGGGCTGCTGTTCCTCCTGGGTGGGGCTGTTTAGATTTCCTCGGTGTGGGCATCGGAGACTTGAGGCAGAGCCCACGGCAGTGCCCACCATACACCCCGGCTGCTCCGAGGTAGCTGACAGGCCCAGGGCCCACCTGAGGGGAGCAGCAAGGGTAGGCGTGGGCTTGTAGGGATGGGAGTAGGGGTGAAGGAAGCGGTGCTTTATGGGGCTTTGCTTTTCCCCAACCTTTCCCAGACTTGGAGTACACGTGAGAATATATTGGAGTGCTCGGGGGTATCTGTGGGCAAAGGACAGCTGAGGCTTCTAGAGGAAGTGTTGGGGAAAGAGTCTTGTCCTCTGTGGGTTCTCTGTCGAGGGAAGAGGCCCCATAAGGGAGCTAGGCTGCAGGCAGAGTGTCACTATGGTTGGTCATGGTGCCTGGACTTGGAGATCTGGGTGTGTCAGGGTCTGAGATGAATCAGGAAGCAAAGACGTCCTGGAAGAGGGTGCTTTTGGCTAATGATAGGAGGGTGGAGTGAGGGGCTCAGCCTGACCTTTGCCTCAGACTGAGCTTTGGTGTGTGGGGGAGGGAAGGTATTGTGGGAAGGTCAGGAGGCCTTTGACGCACTTAGAGCCATGCCCTGTGGTGGACGGATCCCTCAACCAGTGGTGGAAGCGCTGATCCAACCATGGGCAGGTCACCCAGCTTCTCGGACCTCACTTCTCTCTTCTGTAAACAGGGGTCTGGGTAAGATGGTCTTTGGAGTCTGTGACCTTTCTGATTGTGTGAGTCAGAGAGGAGGGGGGGCAGGAACAGATGAAGGAGTATGAGTGGGGGGTTCCCTACAGTGTCCCCTGGGGCTGAGGAAGTTCCCCATCAGGGAGGGGTGCTCAGCAAGGATCCTTGTCCTGTGCTGAGAAAGCCCTCCCTGAAGATTCCCTACAACAGAGGGCTGCTTCAGGGGAGTGGCCGTGCCTCCCAGACCAGAAGGAAGGAAGGCAGCATGCACCAGAAGTACCACCACAGAAGAGGTCAGCACTCAGCCAGGCACTGTCATCAGACTTCCCCAGTTACAGGTGGAGACCTCCAGGCACAGAAAGGTAGAAACCTTTTCCGGGTCACAGCAAGTACAGAGCAGGCAGGATTTGGACCCAGGCAGTCTGGGTCTGAACTGCCACACTCCACCATCTCCCTAGTGTCCCTTTGTCTAGCACAATGACACCAGTCATGTGTAGCTACTAAAACTTAGATATACACGAACTAAAATTAAGTAAAAAGAAAAACTCATTTCCTCCGTAACACTGGCCACATTTCAGTTGCTCACTGGCCACATGTGGCTAGTGGCTATGATCAACACAGAATGTCGAATCTTTCCATCACCACAGGAAGTTCTTTGGGACGGCACTGTTCCAGAGCTTAAAGGAAGAGACGTGTGGTGGTGGGGGTGCGTGTTCCAAACATACACACACATATGCACTGCTCCTCCCCAGAGAGGCCTGTCACCCACACTGAGTTCCTTGCCTGTTCTGCTCTGCCTTGAAGCTGGTGGGAGGTTCAGGGGGAGCTTGTCTCTCACTTCTTCCCCAAGGGGTGACAGGCTCTTACATCTCCACTTGCTGAGAGTGCCATGCTGATTGTGCACTTGGCCTGTGCAGCCTGCCTCCCTTCATGAATAGGTTGCCATTGTCCCTCAGTGTGGTGCTAGTCCCAGGAGGGCAGAGTTGGGAGGATCTTAACACAGGATAATTTAGGGGCAACAAAGGGGACCCCACGTTGTAGCTCCTGCCTCATCTGAACACCTGCCCCCAGGACCCCTGTGAGCTGGCTGAGGAAACATCTGGTAGAATTCCATCTCCGTGACCTGTATTCCTGGGTCTGCCCCAAACAGATGGATATGCAGGGGTAATCAAATTGAGGCTGGACAGAATGAGATAGGTCCCCTGGGTGTGCAGCCCTTTAGCAAAAAAGTCAAGGTTTTGGGAACTGGGGGTAGGTTGGGCTGGGGGAAAGGGATAGAGTGGGATTGGAGCAGTTATGCTCAAGGCCCAGCTGTTTATCAGTGTCACCAGTCCCCGTAGCTTCACATAATCAGCTGGGTTAGAATAGGACAGAAGCCGGGCTCAGTGGCTCAGCCTGTAATCCCGCGCCTTTGGGAAGCTGAGGTGAATGGATTGCCTGAGCCCGCGGGTTTGAGACCCCCCTGGGCAGCGAGACCTCATCTCTACAATAAATCAAAAAATCAGCCGGATGTGGTAGCGCATGCCTGTAATTCCGGCTACTCGGAAGGCTGAGGCGGAAGGATCGCCAGAGCCCAGCAGGTCGAGGCTGTGGTGGCCGGGAGCGGCCATTGCACTCCAAGCTTTCTGTTGCCCCATCTTTCCATTCACACCATAAAAGCCTCTTGTTTCTCTTAACCACAAGAGTGAGGCCACCTACTCTCTGGGAGAGTCATTGTCTGGGCTGGGAAGGGTGGCCCAGTGGCTGGGGCTAGGTGCCCACCCACTCAAGGAGGAGCCAGGCTGGGGTCAGAGCCCATCCCACTCCTGCCCCCTGCCCAAGGAGCTGCCCCTTGTGGGGTATTGACTCCATCTGTCTATCCCAGATGCAGCCCCAAACAGCCAAATGGTTCTAGACACGCAGACCCCTGTGCTGCCCTGTCAAGAGCTCAGAGAGTGACTGCTTCCCTCTAGAACCAATCTGGACCCTTCCTAGAGCCCAGGGCTGCTGGTACATTGTAGCCTCAAAGTGTTGTGATTTCAAACCAGTAAGAAGTGTTTCTGTACCCCGAGGCGACTGGGGTACAGAAAGGGACCCAGAAAAAGGGGTAGCCCAGACCTCCACCCTCTTCTCACCCCCATCAGGTGGATTCTGCAGACCCCTGCCATGCCCCGGGGATCCTGAGATATCGTGACACCGCACATCTGTTGTGTCACCTCCCACTGTCCTGATGTCTTTTTCTCTGTGGTCTTTCTTTTCAATGTCCTCACTGTGCACCAACTCCACCCACTTCCCACCTCCAGCCCCCTTATGCGTGTATAGATTCTACACTGCTCCTGGCCCCTTTCTGAGTTCCCCCTAGCAGGGCTATGAGAGGCAGCTAGCTGGGAGGAACGGAAGCACACCTGAGCCCTAGAGAGCTCCGAGACTCTTCATCCTGTCTGTCTCACTTACAAATCAAGTAGCCTGGGTCCCCTTTTAGGAAGATGCAATCTGATTCCCTCACCAAGGGTCCTCCTTTCCATTTGAACTTATCCCTTCTGTGAAGGACCTAGCTGAGGGTCCAGATATCATTCGTAGTGGAGCCTCATTCTGTCCATGTGGTGTGGGGTTGCAGCAGACCTTCCTGGGTGACATGCCTCTGCCATATCCATGACTCTATGAGAATAAATGCGATGTTCCAAGAGAGAGGGCTAGAGGCTTTGGATAATTATTGGAGTGAGGAGTCGTTCCTTTCTAAAAAGGCCAGGTGATGACCAACCCCTTTGGGAATGGCCCATTTTCCCCATGCCTGAGTGTTGGCCCCAGATCTGTATCCAGATCAAGATCTGATCTTGAATTATGGTTGTCATCAGGGGTCTCCCCTGCTTCCTCTCTTTTTCCCCCTCTGGACTTCTCATTTCAGTTTAATCTGTTAATTTCTGTTCTTATTTCACTTTGCAGACTATTTGCCGATTTCACAAGACATAATTTTTATCAACTAGCTCTTAAGAGAGGCATAACAAATTGGGGTTTGCTACCATTTCTAGAGAGAGGACACAGTCCCGGCTTGGGCCGCCCCAGCTGCTGTCAGTGCCCACTGAAACTCTGTCCTAGCTGCCCGTGTGAATGAATGTTCTTTTTCTCATTTTTAATTATTGGAAAAGACGTCCTCATTGCTTCACTCAATTTTTATAAAAGATTTTATTCTCCAGTCCCCTCCCATTGTGCTTTTTGTACGCTTTGTGACCAGCCCCACTCACCCCTACGTCCCCAGAATGTAACGGGGCCAGAGGGAAACTTCTCACAAACTCTGTAGCGCCTCCACAAGGGGATCTGGGAAGAAGGTATCCAATTACTTTAGGTAATGACCAAAGAGGCTTATTGGGGCATCTCGTGGGGTGAGCTTTTAAAGTTCTGTGGCCCAGGGAGTTTGCAGATATGTGACTTGGAGCATCTATGTCTTATGGTAGACAGAAACAAAAGTGAAACACACACACACACACCCAAGACTAGTCTATAAAAAAGTGAAAACTTAATCTGGAAGGGTAATTGAATAAACACTATCTGATTGTTATTGTCTTTGAGGACCAGTGGCTGTTCCGTAATAACAAGCTTGTCTGTCTTGAGCAGGAACAGTAGAGTCACCCAGGTGCTGCCGTGGGTTAGACACCGTGGGCCCCTGTCCACAGTGGGCCCTGCCCTTTCCAGCTCACCTCCCTACCCGTGCTGGCCTGGCCTTGCCTACTGGCGCCATCAGGGTAGAAGGGGATAGAACACAGGGGCCCGTCCTGATCACGCCTCATCTCGGCACTGGCCCTC